CCCCACTATTGTGGGACTACCACCTACCAGGAAACGTGCCACTTTTACAGGAAAAATGGACAGAGAATGAAGAACTAAACTGAAGCCACGGGAGCTCTTACATTTCAGGAACAGCCAGAACGCCTAGTATTTGTACGAGCTGACTGCTGTTCCAGCAACGACACCCAGCAGCGGAGATACTGAGGAACAGACAAGGTTTGTTCTAAGCGCTGGTGTTACAACAGCACCGTCAATTCTGTGACAGTGGATCATGATAAAGGACGGTGGAAATGAAAGCCTTAACAGTACATTATTAACAAAGTAATTAGAGATTTTTAAATCATTACTCCAGGCAAATTCATTTTCCTTTGCTTCCAGCCTCCCAAACAGATTAGCTTGAATGACAATCGCACAGACTCCTCCATCTCCATGCTTGCCAGCTAGAGTTTTATCTTCTCTACTAGGAAGCACATTTTATTTTCAGTTCTAGAGAAGGGCAAAGCACTAAAGTGAGCAAAAAATCTCGCAACACTCAATGAGCCTTAACGTCTTCCTAGTACAACTGTTTATATCAACCAGAAACATACTTCCAATAAACACAGGAAAGCAGGACTCGACATTGTACACGCAGGTGCAGAAAGAGCGAGCAGTAAACTCTCGTCCTGTGGATCACGTCTTTGGCTGGACTACAGAGAAGAGACAGTTTCCTCCCTAGGCTGGAGCAAGCGTCTGTCCACACTGGAGCCTGCAGCTACGAACCGCAGCTCGGGCAGAGGTGTGAGCGCTAGCTTTAATCTGTGCATGTGAAGCGCTGACAGCGCTACAAGTCCAGTGGCAGGTTTTTGGCCACAGATGAAAGCATCTACCCAGAGTCCCAAGAAGCCTCCCATGAAGCCTGCCAGGAAACTACCACTGCCAGTGGTACCTGTCACCAGAGCTGCCACCACCCCTCCGGCTGCCGTGGGCGGCACGAGGGCCGCTCCCGAAAGGAAACGCTACCACCTGCCCGCATCCTGCGTCACTGCTTCAAATAAACTCCACAGACCGCTCCAGCCAGTCTGTACGTTTTTGCTCATTAGTATCTAATCAGCTGAACAGAGGAAACGAGAAACCGATTCCACCCAAAACGTTATCAAAACCCAAACTGAAACAACTCTTCCCTGCAGCCGTAGGAGCCACTTGTTAAAACGAACAAAGCGCCACAGACAAAAACTGTTCTGGAGAGACCCTTAATCTGTACTTCAAACTGACGTTTTTTAGACTGCATGTTTACCCACACAAAGTACGGACAAGTCCAACTTTATAATGCAACTTTTTGGAAAATTCGGTTCCTAAACTATGTCCACCTGACAGAAGAGCTGTATGCAGCTTAAATTCTAGTTCAGATGCTGAAACTGAAAATTTTGCAGATGAGTAGTGAAGGAGCCTTTGGATGCCACATATATTTCACATTATTTTTAGACTAATACTCACTTATGGAAATGGAGCCTCCGTATTAAGTGTTATTCGCTTCCTATTTATTTTTGTAAGGCATATGAAAGAGACATTCCATTTTAGGGACTTATGAGAAATATTTTCATTGACCGTAACCTTACCATTCCCCAAAGCTTAGGGGAAAATAACTTAAAAATTTTTTATATATTAAAATTTTATGTTTAGAATTATATTACTCTCCAAGATAAGCAGACCGGTCACTGATACTCAAAACATTCACTAGCCATCACAGTTTAGACTGTTTCTCTCTCTGCTCATCACTATCCTACAAAATCTGAACCGGAATACTGTTTTACATAAGTTCCTGAAATTCTAGGTTTTAGAAGGAACTGATACAGATGAAACAATCCCCTTTCATTTCACAAGTAGACAACTGTACCGCACAGAGCCCCTGAACAGACTGATGGCACTCGCTCACATCCTGGTTTCCCAAGTGAAGAAGTTGAACAAATACGCAGAAAAGAATCTCATGACAAACACAGGCAACATCTTGAAAGTCACCCTACACACAGCTGCGTCATTACAGTCCTCCTGAGCCATAACGATTTGGTTACAGGATGCTGCTGTAACAAGCAGTTCCCATTACTAGAGATCAGTTTTTCTAATTTACAGTGAAATGAACCGAAATGCAAGATACTATTAATTCATCTTTCCATTGCTGCCTTGCATCAGAATTGAGACAACGGTATCATCACTCTGCAGCACTAAAAGCTATTTCCAACTACTTCAAATACACCCAGAGTAATTAAAGAACACAATGTGCTAAAATCTTCAGTACCTTAGTAACAGTACTTTTTACTAATAGGTTGAGGCAGAAACGTCATCTATTTTTGAATTTAAGCTCTGCAAATGCACCTACACAGGAAGCATTTAAAATAAAGGCCCAGTCTTGGTTCAATAGAAAAAAACCCTGTTGACTTCAAAAGGAGCAGAACTGAGCCTAGAATAATTGACTTACTAAAGCATATCATTCAGTCCTACCAATTTATGAGCTAAGCTTGCTAAAATGCTTCTGAAAGAGCAATGAAAATGGTCTTCACACACATAAATGATACGCTATAAAGAGGAAAGGCATCTTTTTTTCTGCTACGGGGACGGAAAGAGGAGTAGTGAAGGACTTAAGTGAAAGCAAGGCAAACGTAGGTTAAACACCAGAAAAGGCTTTCTAAGAGCAAGGCCTGTTAATCGTGGGAAGAGACTGCCTGGGGAAGCAGTGGACCTCCATCACAAGAATTTGTTGGGTAAAGCATCTGCCAGAAATGACACAGGAACCGCTCATCCCACCATCCGCAGGGAACGGAGTAGAGGAGGTTTCCTCCAGTTTTGTTTTCTGTGATAAATTTAAGAGGGCTGCTCTACTTAATAGAGAGCAGCGCCACTGCAGAGAAAGCACAGCCTACTCCACTTCATACAGCACGATACACTGAGATACTCAGTTTCCCAGTTGTGGGAGCCTTAGATTGAAATGAAATAATTACAAATGAAGAGAGACTGCATGGCCCAGAGGATAGGACACCACACTGAGACTTGGGAAGCAGGAGCTCAGCCTGAGTTTGCGCCTGGCCTGCTCTGCGGGCTGGAGTGTGTCATCCTCTCTCCCTGCACGGCAGCTCTATTTCCCCTCGCATCCTTTGTCTATTCCAACTTTCCAGGGCAGGGACAGTCTCCTACAAAGCAGCAGAGCACACGTGGTGCCCTGTTCACTGCAGCTGCAGTCTCGGTTGCGTAGGCACTACTGAAGTGTCAAGTGGTGGCTTCAGGTTCAGCACGTTCTGAACCAACAAAAATCACTACCAGGGAGAAGGGGCTGCATCAGGGAGCAGTCCTGGGGCAGTAAAACGCTTCAGCTAGTGATGGGCATTTGCAGAAGAACATACCAGGTCTGCAAGCCTGCCATGGCTGAGCAAGGGTTAAAGTAAACAAACAACTTTAAATCAGACCACTCCACCCATACACTCCCAGGAGTCCTAAAAAGCTTTGGCTTGCCAGCGTTCATCGTGGAGTAACATTTCAGAAGACTGGAAGAAGGCCAATGTACTACTTCTCAAAGGGCAAGGAGGGAGAAGTCAGCTACCAGCTGGCTAGGTGCTCTTGCAAGGAAAGCACTTGCAAGGAAAGAAAAGATATGAGATTCAATTAATAAAGAAGGAAAATACAATTAAAGTCAGTCAACATATAAATTAAATCTGTCAGAATTACCGGAGGAAGCTACACAAATGAGTAACTGGGGCAACATGAATGACTTTGGTAAGGCTTTCGTTGACTTACCACTTATTAACACTGTAAACAACATATTAGGATTATACAGCTTCAAAATCATATACAATAAACGGACTAAAAACTGATCAAGTGACAGATCTGAAAGAGGTCACTCTAGGATAAACATTGAACAATCTTAACAGAGGTCTACAGAGATTAGTTCCAGGATTCCTGGTGGTCAACAGCTCATCAATCTGGAAACAAATATAAAATTGTCTATAAAACTTTGCAGATCAGCAGAGCAATAAATAATGAAGACAGTGCAGTCATTGAGAGCGATCTGCATCACTTGGCAAGCCGGGCCTCTTCAAACAAAACGTGCTGTAATGCAACCAAGTAAGAAGTCAGATATCTCAGAGCAAGGAATGCAAACATTGCTGCCACAGGATGACAGACTGCACCTGGGGACTACACCAGTACACGGACACAGCAAAGGCTACAGAGGTCAGAGCAGATAAGCAACTCAGCAAAAGACGTGGGACGAGGAGGACTAATGAGATTATGGGATGTACAGAAAGAGAAACAGAGCAGGAATATGAAGGAAATTTTGTCTCTACATACTGAAAGAAAAAGTACCACTGTGTTTTTAATATATAAATGCTGCAACACACTTTAAAAAAAAAAAAAAAAAAAAAAAAAGAGACTGGAAAAACCGTTTAAGACTGAGGGGAAAAAATTCTCAGTGAGGCACTTGCAAAGCTCAATCTGTTTAGTTTAGCAAAAGGTAGATTCAGAGGTGACGGACCAATACGTGTCGAAGGGGGAAAGTGTCAGGTTCTAACCAGCCTTTTAACAGAGAAAGCCTTAAAAATAACAAACTGACGTCAATTGAAACCTGATAAATTCAAGGAAGTAATAAAGCATGACTTATCTTAACAGTAAAGGTAATTAACCTTTAGTTTAATAGTAGTATAAGTTGTGCAAGGTAGAAGTAGTGAATGTTCAGTGTTAGAAGTCTTTAAATTAAAACTGGATGCTGCTTGGATGACTTGCTTTGGTTAAATACAAGTTTCTGGGCCTGGGTGAAACTGCACGTTTTATTGTAAGATATCCAACAGGACAATCTACTAGTTTTTAACTCAAAAAATTTATAGCAATACAGAAAAAGAACAGCATAATCTATGGCTGCCAGTTACATTTGCATAACTCCTCTGTGCCAAGATAAGAGTGGCACAGTACAAACCATTCTCCTATCTGATATGACAAAATCATTCAGTTATTAAGGCAAACTGAAGTTACAGCTTTTCTCTCCAACCTAGACGACTTACTCAGAAATGTGTACAAAGATGTCCGGCCCTCCATCTGCAGGGGTAATGAAGCCATGGCCTTTGGAGCGACAGAAGCATTTACAGACTCCTTTATAGATGGGACCCTCAGAAGCTCTCACAGTTCTGCAAAGGAGAGTGCACACAGAGCAAAAGTTCATTGTTAGGCACTGCTGTGAGAAGTTCCAACTATGTGAGCCAGGGAATGCCAAGAAAAAGAGTACAACAGTCCAAATACTCACTCACTTCCCAGTGAGTATATTCCCCTGCAGCAATTATTTAATATTCTGTGCAACAGACTGCACACATTCTGCCCATAGCCTTTTTTAAGCAAGAAAGAGACAATTAAGATGTTTGCTAGCACTCTAATCCTTCTTCATTGTCATGAGACCTGTAGTTTAAAATGAGACTGCTCTGAAGACAAACCCTTAAGATGACTTACTACCATCAAGAAAAGTGACTTGCATTAACTATGACCTATTATGAAAGCTGTGTGATTAAACCCTTTCCCCCTCCCATCACATATGCTGAGCTGATTCTCTAGGGATCCAAAATCTCTTAATACCCTTATGAATGAAGCAAACTGTTTCAAACAGTTACTAGATGAGGACTTTCTCACCACATGAGTAAGTGCCCTCCCTACCCAGTCAGTTGCCTCTGTGTTAGAAGAGGATTTTATTATGACTCTTCAAACTAAACCTTCAGGAAGTGATTGTGTTGCCACTTGGTTATAGGCATCGTGGCAATTTTGACATCACTTTCATAATGTTAATTTAAACGTTGATAAAGTTTAAAGACATCAAAAAAAATCAGAAAGAGCTCTGAAGACATACAAATGTTAAAAGAAATATAGCGTTGAAAGGGGAAAAAAAGAATGAGAGAAGAAATCTCCATTAAATTACCTCATTTTTAGCTCTATGAAGCAATCAATGCACCTGACCTCACCAAGGGTGTGTTTGTTACACTGAAAAGCACTCACTGCCCTAAATAAGCCATTAAAGTTCAACTGCATCTTTCAAGAAGATAAAGCACCGTGAGGGACAAGACCCCACATTTGCAGTGAACTAAAATCAAACAATCCCACTGAATAATAAGCCACTGCCTGGCACATTCATCTCCTCCATAAAACTCTGGGGCCAGAAAACTGACTTAGAGCTCATTTTGTTTAAAGAGGACACAAAAAATATTCGAGCTATTTTAATTTTCAGGGTTAGCAAATACAACAAGATTCCTACGCTAATTAACAGGGATTAAAGAACTGTGGGAGCCAAAAAACAAATACTTTAGGTCTGTAAGAGCCAGACTAGGAATAATAGCTGAGAAGAATTACAGAGTTCATTACTAACATAACATTGAGGCAAGCTAGCCTGGAACTGGCTTTCAAGGTCAACACCAATTATCAAGTCAATTATGGTCTTTTTAGCAATATACTTCCATTACAAAGTTTAGAGCATCTGAGATCTTTTGTAACTGACAACACACAAGTTTTTTTTCTGCTGCTGCTGTTCCCTTTTCATCTCATTTTGAACAGAAAAGTACAAATATAAATAGCATCAATCTTAATGAAGCCTCAAATCTGCATGGATAACCTTTGAAGAAAAGAGCTGGATAATATTGAAAGAAGACAAAAGAAATAAACAAGCCAACTAGATTAAGCAGCACTGAGAATAGGCTAGCTGCAGGTCTGAGGTCTTACTTCCGCAGTGTTTCACTCAGCACTGCCAGACCTCTCTTCCACAGAAGTGTCTGCAAGATTGTGTCAGAAGCACAAAGGACTGACTCGAGCTTTACGTTACACCCTTAGACCCTGATTCAGAGGCCAGTGGGGAGGTTAACATTGCCTTCTACAGCTCAGCACCTCACTGGGGCAATCTATCCCAGGCACTAGGGGTTTTTGCAGTGACAGAAGTAGGTAATCACATCCTCTGTGCTCCAAGAGGAAAGAACTGCTGCACTACAAAGGAATTCCCTTTGGGTGGGGGGAATCCGCAACAGCCTGCACTGCATCTCTGGGCCACAGAGAAAGACCAGAAAAAAAGGAGGCTCTACTATACGATCACTACTCGAATAATTAAAAACAGCAGCAAATCCCATGCTCGTTTCATATGAAAATCTTACATACTTTTACTGAATCAGAGAGATCAAGGTTATTCCTTGATTATTATTTTACAGATTTTTTACAGATTTTACATTATTTTACAGATCTATTTGAGCAAACTCAGAACTCTTAAGACAGGGATATTAAAGGTGATGAGGAAGAAAAAAAAAACAATCCTATGAGAAGTGACAAGTCGTGGACTATCCCTGAAATGTGACCTGGCTGATGGTAGCACAAGTGTCAGGAGTAAAAGAACTAAAATCTCCAGTAAGCAAGGTCTGGTCCAATCCCTCGAGGGTGGCAAGAAGAAAGGCCATGTCAAAAAAAGAAGACCATGCTGATGAAGCAACACCAAAAATAACAGGTCCTGAGAGCCACAGCTCATTGTCTGAGGTGAAGCACCCCTTTTATCTCTGTGATGGCCCAATCATTCCACCCAAAAGGCAAGAGTTTGGCTATGTCTGTGAAATTCAGTTTTCCTAATACTCACGCTGAAAAAGTCCTGGTCCGTCGGGTGGGCAGAGGACTAGGGATGAGGTACCCTCTCATGGGAGATGGGGAGCGATCTCTTGTCCTGCGGCTTTCAGGCAGACGGAGAGAACTTGGTGAGGGTGGAGAAGAGGGGGACTGCTCAGAAGCAGATGAAGTGGGCTCAGAAGACATTCCTGACACCTGAGAAAAACCTAGAGAGAGGAGAAGATCTGATTTAGCCCAAGATGGAAAATTGCATATAAAAGGCACGCATTTTTCAGCTTATGATTTTGTAAAAGCATGACTCATTTCCTGCAGTCGTGCACGCAGACGCAGTTGCACTAAAGCTACCGCTCTGTGTCAGTGAGTTCATTTTTTAACTCTCTTCATAGCTCTTGCGAGCTGTACTAGGAAGCTCCACTGAAAGCATGCTACTTGACAATTAACATGCGGCATCTTATGCGTTTATTGCTGCCTCACTCTTAGGCAACGGCTCCCCAAGCGGAACACAGCCCTGAAGTCAGGCATCCGCACGCCCCACACACCTCCCAGCAGGAGCTCCACTGGGCCGCTGGCAGCATATTGACAGAGGAGCCACCCTCTCTGGAAAACACTGCAAGAAGAAATGCTGAAATAAAGGAGACATCTGCATTGCTGGAGGTTAGTTTCACTATGCAATCAACTATGCTAACTTCATTCACTGCTGCCACTGCTCAGTTATTGTCACGCTTTTGTCAAAAGGTTATAACACCTTCAGCTCTACTGGAAGAAGAAAATCATATGAGTGCTCCTTAATTCACTTCAGGCACAGTCAGACAGTTAATTTACTCTGGCAAGGAAGGGAAAGTATGCTAACAAGCAGAGCTGTGCAGGCAGAACGGACTGCTAGTAGGTGACACCTTCAAACCGCACAGAGATCTAGAAGGAACATCCACACGCCGCTTTCGCAGGTCTGAGCCTTGGGCACAGTCTGCCAGCACCCAGGAAGCAATACTCTGCATTTGAATTCAGATTCCCAACAGCCCTCCTCAGCTTTGTTATTCTTTTCTTCCAACAGAAAAGGGAAAAGGTCTCTTTTCTCAACAGTCACCCAGCAATATGTTCCTAATCACAAACAATCAAAACTTTCAAAGAACCTGTTAAAAGAGAAGGACTGCTAAGAAACTGCAGCACTTCTGCATACACCAACGCGCAGCAATGACAGACAGAGGAGAAACCAACCGGCACTGCTCTGGTACTACAGCACAAGTCCCTTTCCAGAAGGGGAATATATGAAACAACTAAGTCACTCCGATTTTTAAAAACTATATATATGTTATATACAAAATATTATAGCCAGAAGTGGATGAGTTAGAAAGCAAAAGGTGTGGAGAGCAGGGCCAAGAAAACATCCAGAAGGCAAGAAGACTCGGCTTTAATGCCAATGGTCTCATTAAACTTAAATCGCTCATATTCATTTTGTACCCTCCTTCAGACTCCCACACTCCCCAGCCCATGAATTATGGAGTGGATCCTTTACATGACATTTGAGAGACGCAGCCTTCTTGTCAATGACAAATTACCATTATGTCTTCATGAAACTAAAGACTAAAATTAAAAATGCCTCTTAAGAAGGAAGTCACTGGGGAACAAAATTATATTGTATTTAACTGCTCAGGGTGTTGAAAAGGCAGAGAAGTGGATAGTCGTGTTCCCTTGCGTATCAGCATGAACTTTTCACACTGAATTCTCAAGAACAACAGCTCACAAGTAAAACAAAAAATTGCTTCAAACGGTTCAGATATGAATGGTAGTTTAGACCCACTAGCCAATGTCACGCCCAGCACAGTGGCACAACTTTCAGCAGAGATCGAGAGGATAACACCAAAGGGAGCGGATTTTCCAAACTTCCCCTAGAGAAATCTGTTGCAGGCTTGTACTGAGGAAGCCTCCGCCAATTTTGAAAGAACTCTCCTCTAGGATCCTAGCCTCCACTGAATGCGTACTTGATATGGCAGGACTGTAACTCTACTAAATCACAGGAAAAATAAACCGAATTAAAAGCTCTTTCTGATCAATGAGACAGCACAATCTGGGCCTTCGCACTAGTGAAAATGCAACTTCCACAGAATCACATGTTTTCTCTCCTAATCTAAATAGAAATCTGCTTGTCAGGTGACAAGCAAAACGCTGAGCTTTTCATCGATCTACAGTAGTATATTCAAGCAAACCACAAAGCACCGTTCTTCCCTTTTCTAAATCAAAGGTGGAAAGGCAGGAGAGGCAGGACAGACAGACCACAAAAAACATTTACAAAGAAGGCTAAATGGCTTTGCAAGTGTGCTAACTTGTGTTATTGCACCAATTACTGTTATTTTTGTGCCCATAAAATAAATTGTGATGTAGAACATTCAGTTTAATTTTACTATACAAATACCCTCTCTGTTCTGTACCCGTGACCAAAGCAGGGGTCCTTTGAGGGAGTCCTTGACTCTCATTATTTCTATCACAGAAGTCCTAAACCACGAGCACACCATCACTAGCTTGCTGAGAGCTGATACGTAAAAACATGCAGTTCAAGGCACGCGTGAACATTTCTGGCTTCACACTTGCCACAGCAAGTGGATACAACACACACACAAGGAGAAGGACACCAAATAGCAGCAACAGGAAGCCTGTGGCTAGACTATGGCTCAGAGAATGTCTTTATTGGCAGGTCTGTGTGTCTGCGCATGCAGTCATGTAACAGCTGCACTCATTTGCCTCATGGGCTTCTCTGACAATTGTAAAATTAGATGCAATGACAAGGAGTAGATACTGAATTACAAGTGTATTAAGTTTCTAAGTTTACACTGAATACAGTAGGACTGACAACAGTTCACACCTCCTGTAAATCTCAGTTCAGTTTGTTCATTGCAGACATCGCTTTATCTGATCCTTTGGGAAGAAAAACGTGGGGTTTAGCTGTCTATTTTTCTGTTTGTTTGTTTGTCCTAATCTGGCCATTATCATGACGTTGTTTAAACACTGATTAAGTAATTTGTATTGACAGGATTCTTGAAAGAACAGAAATACCCAGTTTTTACACACAGCGCTGAAGAAATTCAGAGGCCAGACAATGTTTGCACAGGAAGTCTGTGGCGAACATTAAAAAACCAAACGCTGGCTTCTCGAGCTCCCTAGCACTCCTCAGTCACACATCTCAATTTGCGTTCCAGATGCAAGTACTTGGTCATTTTTAAAGACGCTTTTCTAACGTTCTCCTAGGATCTGAACTGGCTCTTTGGTAAAGCAAGTCTCATTCTCCAGACTAAGAAACTCCGCAGAGACTACGTGTCCTGTGGAGAGAGCTGTCTCTCCCACAACTTCGACCTAGCCATCACCTGCAGACTCCGGGAATGCTTTGAAATCAGCATGGGGGGCTGCGCTTGGAGCCAAAGAACTTTAAGTTACATATGTAGGAAACATATTCCCGAGCATTAGCAGCTCACCTAAGCACACAGCTCCAAGATGGAAAGACCTCTTGGATCCTGTCCTGCCATTTGAGGCATTGCATGTTATCTAAGCTCCTCCCCAAACTTGACTTGCTCTACGAATCTCTCTCCTCTGCACAGAACTAGGTAGTCGCAGCGTTCTTTGCAGGTACCTGAATATGTCTGTAATGGCCATGACAAACATGTTATAGATGATGCATCACTTCACATAAGTCATGGAGAAAAAAGGTAAGATCCTTGGTTACGACACACAGCTCCCATCCAGGCAGTCTAGATCATTCATTTGTCTTGAAGGCAGTCTCAGAATATTACCTCGATCAAATCACATAGTCTGTTTCCCAATCAGTATAAAGGAAGTTAGTGATTCTTCCCTGCTTCACAAGGGCACTGTAAGACTTAACTCACATCGGTATGATTCCAGATGTTAAGGCCATGCATGCAAAAAGCATGCCATTAACTATACAAAATGAGAGGGTAAAGTTTTGGGGTTTTTTTAATCGAAAATCAAACCTGTTTTAAAAGCCCACAGCTCGCTACAATCCCTTCTTCAGCATCCATAAACTATTTCCCCTGTTCATTATTAGCTAAAGAAAACTATTTTCACACATCTCCTATCAGATCACCCTCTTTCACAGTTTCTAGTAGTTTTCCTCTCTACCTCCAATTCAACCTCCACTCTCCCCTCTTCACAACATGAACCCAAAATAGGCAGCTAACAGAATCCCTCATCCCTCTGTTTATATCTTGTTTGCTTTCCCTTGCAAAAGCAGTACTTTGTAGCAGCATCCTGTATTTACCAAAAGTCCAGCAAAGGGAATCCCAACTACGATAGGGACGAGGGACATGAAAACGACGTCTCTTCTATTTGAGCCAGTAAAATATTTAGCTTCTGCTATTTACACAATGAATGTAACATCATGCAAGGTGGTGAGCCTTAATTCTGCCTGTATCTCAGCATGTATTATTTATCTTACACCACCACAAAAGGTATTTTTTAACACTGCAGGAATACACCAAACTAAAATATAAATAGAATACACCTAATCACAGAAGTTATGGACTTCAAGTCAAAAAAATATGTGCTTGCCATAGTTTTTTCAGAACAAACAGCCAATGTGTACACACGAACAATGTTCTGAGGTTTCTTTAAGGGGTGACCTACAGAGCACAGATGGCAATAGATGCATCAGGTGACATTTCTGAAATTCTCAATAAAGTACTACCAAAATCTATGGGAATAATTAAAAGGGACGGGAAGTCTGTAAATGAAACCATTGTTTCTAGATATACAATCATTTCATTGTTCCTCCCTTAAGTCTACTCCATACCTCTAAAAATACCCTTAAAACAGTAGTTTTCTTGAAGTTATTCATTCTTACCAGCACCACAACACACTTCCAAGGAAATCCAGTTGCACTTTTGATTAAAGGAAATGCCTGAAAAATAAAAAAACAAAATGGATACAATAACAGACTCCAAGAAATCTCTCAGTCTATGAAATGGTTTACTTTTCACACAGAAGATATCATAACATCTCCAACTAGCACAGAGATCATCACTTGCAAATGTCATTCTGTGTACTTCAGTGTTTCGAGTAGGAAAAGCTCCTTCTAGCCTTCTTCGCTTGCAAACAGCACTATCTGCAGGGGCTACTTTCAGAGGGTAACATGAGGGTCTACAAAATACAGCACTGCCTGCCCAGAAAGCCAGGGTTTGCCTTCCTACAGAGAACATATGAGAGAGAGCATACTATTGAGAGCATAAACTGTGCAACACCAGCAACTGTTCTCAACTCGGTTTTGCAAGTTTGCTCTTCCATTTCAACCTCTAAGAGGAACTTGGAAACCTAAAAATTTGTTTATTTTCTTCTGGGCCTTCCTTGGATTTAGAAACAATGTCAGCAATGTTTTTTTTTTTTTACATGACTCATTTTTAAATGTCCTGGTTTCCAAATGTATACTGAACAGCTACATTCCTATCCTTCTCCAACCCCTCTGAGCTTTGCCTGCTCATCTGCTGACGTTTACAAGCTCTTCTCAGCAAGGAAAAATATGATTAGATGGTACACTGGGATCCTAGACTGAATCTATTCCCATGCGCTTCTTCTCCAAGCAGTATTTTCTTTCCCCTAATCTGATGAAAGTGGAGGCACAAGGGCCCTCTATTCTCCCCTCTCCCTTACCTTGCTCTGCTCCCAGTAGTGCCCCCCCGTTCTTCTGAAGAACCGGCCAGGCCCCGGCACCTCTCCCTGAGGCAGCTGAGCACCAGCTCACCCTAAGCACCAGGCCAGAGTACTTTTCCACCCTGCAATTACCTTCTGAAGCACCTTCGGGCACTCAGATTCTCAGCACACGTGAGGATCCCACTGCCACAGAGCAGCAGAGTAGCAGAGTGCTATTCCTGCGTCACAGCCAAGTGCTCGCAAAAAACACAGAATTATGAAACGGTTCCAAAAGCTTCCCCTTTCAGCTTGTTTGCATATGACTAACTTTCAACAATTAGCACCCCTATTTCAATTAACACCGAAACTCAGAGTAGTTGCGACACAGGTTTGTTGTGTCAACACAAAGGATTATGGTACAAACATTATGCTTTTAAACAGGGCGCAGAAGAGTGACCGCTGCCTCTTAGCCCACTACTGTAGTGATTCTGCAGTTAACGGAGAGCTGGACGTTGCCCAACTGTCCCCATGTCCAGTAAAAGCCTAATTATAAGGCAGGCAGGATAAAACAAGGAAAATTCCTAGTGCTTGTCTATGCATGAAAATTAATTTGGACTGAGGTCTGGACAGGGTTAAATTTAAACAGCAACAGATAATCCCGAGTAGTTCCAACAGCGAAACCTTTCCCCACCACAGTGCCAAAGGTGGTGCTCCTTTAGCCTACTGTGTTTGAAAGCAGCCTTGAAACAGAACAAACCAGCCCCTGCACAGCCAGGGGATCCTGCACTGGGCTTTTAAACAAATTAAGGAGAGCACAGCACAGCAATAGCATGTCAGCTGGCTTTGGTGACAAGATTCACTAGCCTGGGCCGAAAGTGAGAGTGCGCAACAGTATGAAAAGGATCCTGCATGCTACATCTTCTCAAAAGGTGCTCTAACAGAAGAGTCAATTTCATTGTTTTGTTCCTTCATCTGCCCATATTTTACAAACGAGGACAAAAAGCATCCAGCAGTAAGGTACCTTCCTCAGGACGACGCTGGAGAGCAGTAGCAAGAATGGAACAGAGCTGTCCCGAGACCAGCAGGCCCCCGTTTACACTGTCTCCTAAGCCATCACTTACACAGACATGAAGTTTCAGTCCAAAACTTCAGGCTACTCACAAATATTGGTCCGAATATCACTTAATATTTCTTAAAGAGCAGGAATAAACCAAACAAACTGAGGTGAGAATGACCTACATTCAGCTTCACACTGATCTAACTCTTTTTGTTTAAAGAACAGTTTAAGTGGAGAGAGGAACAAGGAAAACTCTTTCCAGTGGCTAACTTGGAAGAGCAATGACAGGTCCCAGATGAGCATCCTCCTCTGGGAGCTCTCTCCAGTGCAGCTTGGTGGCAAGGATGAAGACGAAGATTTTGGCCATGCTTTTCCCCTGGTACCACACACTTCTCCTTGGGACCTGCTCAAACGCCCTACTGGTTGTTCTCATTTATGACGCTATTAGTGCCGACGGGTGCATGCCAATTAGGTGCAAGTGCTGCCTACTGATTTGTTTTTAAGTGTCTCCATACTTATATTACCGGATAATATTTATCAGGTATTTCAACAACTGTTACCTACAGTAGTGAGCATTTTGCCTTGGTTATCTCTAATACAAGCCAAAATCTACAAGACAAAAGGCTGGGCCGGGGGTAAGAGAGGCGATTCTCACACCAGTGAGAGCCACGTCCCCTGGGAACCCGCCATACCCACAGTATTGGGGTTGCAGGTGTTGGGCTGCAAGAACAGCAATACAAGAACAGTGTGAGAACAGTAAGGGAAAAACGCTGCCACGGAGGCTCTGGGAACCACTGCCTTATCAGCCGGGGGAAAAGGCTGCAGCGCTGCAAACAGCAGGCCCTCAGCATTATTAAGGTAAGGCAGGAAGGTACCAAAGGTACCGAGCAGCAATCTGGACCCAAGCTACTATCTGCACAGCATCAGGCTGGACTGTGCATATAAACTCATTGGTTTGGGGCGAGCATGCGACCTCCAGCACCATGCTGCATTGTACCATGGAGATGTAGCCTCTCTTGAAAAGGCACCTGAGCCCAGAATGAGTCTAAAGGTTCGGTATACAGCTTTGTTTCCTCGCTCAGGCAAATCTTTCCTATTTGCAAGTTACAGAGCACTGTCCTTGAAATAAGTCCGAGGGAAAGAACTGCACACTAGCACTTGCAAACCCTGGAGTCTGGCTGTACCAGGGCAGAACATAGCAACCAGGGCAGAACATAGCAACCTCTCACCAAACATGGTAGGACCTGCCAGGCCTTTCCGGGAGTCACCACGGCAAGGATGAGCTCTTACTCCCCATCCGCACGCTGCTGGGGCAGCTAATGGAACAGATCCAAACCAGTCTGAGACGGCACAGTTAGAGGCAGACCATGAACCATCACTACTGCATTAGCAAGACCACGGGATCATGATGTTGAGCCAGCATAAGCCTTGTGTGTGATGCTCGCTGTCCTGCCTTGCCTTGAATTCAGCCTGCCAATTACTTTCTGGGTGAACAGCCACAATTTACAAATCTGATGGTTTCTGCAGCAGCACAGTGATGCTGCCTCTCAGCACTTCCCAGCTGCTTGCTAAATTACTGCCAATTACAAGAGCAATGACGGAGCATCAGAAGCACATACGCCAGCTCCCAAAGCCCTGCTCTGACTGCTCTTTTGCTGGAGCTGAGTACACAACATGTCACTTCTAATAGGAAAGACTAGTTTCCCTAGCTATACGTTAGTCTTCACGTGTCCCAGACAGGCTGTAATAAAAGGACAGGGAAATGCGAAGGGAGACCAAAAAGCAAAGAAAGAAAAGGGACATCTGCAGTGAATCACAGGAACATCAGGATAACTTCATCCAATCTGACTCTGGTGGCCAGAGTTAAGTACAAGGTGAGCACACAGTGGTACTTACCTCAACTTCTTTCCAGCATCTGCAGCTTAAGCAATTCCTAAGCCAGAAGTGGGAGAGTGGTTATTTCATAACTTTCCACATTTTTTCCAGCCCCTTCCTGAGCTCATATAATCTTTTAGCACCCACAGTATCCTGTAGCAAGGAGCTCCACAACTTTATTATCATGTGAAAAAACATCTCCTCCTTTTATTGGACAGCGAGAAGTAGCTCCTTTTACAAGGACAATAAGAAAGGACAGAGAGATCAGAAGACAAGAGCATAGTAAATATGGTAAGGAAAGGAAAGGGAAGAATGTAACATGCAAGAGATGAAAGGAAACAGAGGCATTAGCTCAGAGGAGCACATAGGGAAGGGTGCAGGCTTGTTCAAAAACCAAGCCTCCATTTTCCACCAGAAGTGACATAAATGGAAGAGAGAAAGAAGAGAAGAGCTACAAGCTTCTATCCGTCCTTTTTTTCCCCTTTACATCTCTGAATACAAAAACAACTGTATGACTTTTTTTTTTTAAAAATAATCTCAGGATTTTAAAATCACACCTTGATTTTTGATACTTGAATGGTTGCCATTACTCTTAGAAAATAAAATCCACTACTATCAAACATTGCCAAAAGTCCAGCTTGTTGACAAGTTAGGTGGTTTGCTGTGGGCCAGGAACCAGATATTAGCTATTCAGTGTTTGGGGGAAAGGCACGCTGTAGATCTTTGCATCCTTCATCGAGCCTCCGTTAACCAAAGCAGGGAACTTTGTTCTTAAAAACCAGAAGCAACGTTTACTACATCTCATCTTATTCTTGCTAAATAGAGTTCAATTATAGTGTGCTAAGGTACCTCCCATCTGAAGTACAATAATACATTGCTGGAAAGGGAACAAGCTGTCCCTCCTAGCACTTGCTCTTGAGCAGTGGCTGTTCTGTAACTTAGCTCTTCTATCAGTGCTTTTACAAGTCTGAAGCTCTGTCCCTGCTATTAACTCCCACGTTGACAACATTCCAGGAGAATTTTTTCTGGGATTCATTTCATTTTGACAGAAAATATCTATACCCAAATACGAGCTAAATTTTTTAAAGTGTCTAAGCGACTTAGGACTCATCCACAAGGCAAATGGACTTACTTAATGTTATCCTATTATAAGGGAAGGTTATTATACATATATAAATCTTTCTGCACTTTTGAAAAAGTTTTTCCTTCTTCAGCCTCCTCTCACATTGCAAAATTTCAACCATGATTATGGGTAAGTTTGTTCATGTCCAACTTTGCGCCTTTTAAGGCTACTGAAATCCCATGAAATATTTATGTGGCTCAAGTGTTACTCAGAACAATTA